TTGGCATGATGGCATCATCAGGTGTTTGAAAATTTGAAAGACGTTCTTAGCTGCTGTGTTTTTCCTTGAAAACTTATGTACGAATATGTGTTCCGTCATGTTTTTCTGTAAGCAATTATAATAAGTAAATAATTAAGTATGGTTGTGGTCGCTACTTTAGAATGCTGTGCAACTTTCTGCAGATAATTTGGAATGTGTTTCCCTCATTAACCTAAGGCATAACCGAGGGAGAAGCAAGTTGCTATGCAGCAAGTTTTTCTTGCTCCCAAGTAAATTAAAGAACACACATTAGCATGTTAAGTTTTTATTTTTATTTTTATTACAAGCGATATTAGGGAAAGGACTCGGGACTCAAGGCTCGAGAGCAGGGTAACTACTCTTAATCATTTTAAGTTTTGTAACGATCTTCTTGGCGCCGAACAATTCAATTTCAATTAGGGCTTGGTTAAGCATTTTAATGAAAACAACCTGTATTTGCTCCCACTGGACTGGACTTTGTGAGAATTAAGTATGTTTCCATGACGGGCCACTCCAAAAAGAAGTAGATATTTCTAGCAAACAACTCCAAAAAGTCCACTCCCCACTGTCCATGATGGTACTTTATCGTTTTTATGCATTTAGAATTATAGTTTACTTATCATTTTTTTGTCATGAAATTACTTTTATGTTTTTACTTTTGCGCATTTTTCATAAACATGCAAACAGAAGTCCTTATTTGGATGCACATTTGAACAAATTAGATGCCCTTTTTTTAAAATTTTCTTTGGATGTATTGATTCTGAAGTTCAATAGCTCAAATGTTTTTGTAAATGTACTTTTATCTTTTAAAAATCTAGAAAACCGATAAACAGCCCCAAAAAAAAAGAAAATATATATTTTAGAACTCTAAACAACTCTTTTAAAATCTATGATAAAACTCTAACAAGCAGCATCAAAATCAATCTAGAAATTCAATCAAACTCTACGTGGAGTTGATAGAAATCAATTGAACTACATTGAACTCTACAAACTTTATAACTTCATTCATCTCTTTTAAAATCTTAATTGAATACACCCCTAAGCTTGGGAGAAGGTTTCAATGCAAGACCATACAAATTAGAAATTACAATACAAACAACATCTCCGACTCGCAGTCAGATATTGCCTCCAAACTATAAACTGAGAAGTGCAAACAGTTTTAGTTCCTCTCAAGAATTGCCATTGGAAGACTTTGTTGTAACAAGGAAAGCATGGGGTCGATTGCAAAGAAAGGGTTGCAGCAGTACTTGCTTCAGTATCAGCATCATCGTCTCAGAACTAAGGTCAAATCCCATGTCTCTGTTAATATCACTTGGATTGTTTGGTTCAGTCCAATTTTTGTCACTTGGGTTTACTTTGATTTAGACTGTTTTCAGTTTAAACTCCTGCTTAGTTTCCCAGAAAGTTGAAGGAAGCCAAAAAAAATAGAATTTCTGAAAGTTTAGGTTGTTTTCTCATTTGAGTTTTCAAAGATATTGTCTTTTAAACTCAATTATGACGGGTGCTTGTGATAATTCAGTTTCTCTGAGGTCCTAGCCATCAAATGCTGTTAATTGGGAATTTTTGGTGATACCTTCTTTTCTTATTTTCTTATTCCAACTGGCAATTACAGTGGGGTTTTGTCAGCGATCAGTGACATAGTGTCTCGGAAGCTCACCGGGGTTCAGAAACATCAGTTAAGACGTCTGTTTCTCAAAGTGGTAAGCTCCCCATTTTATTTTTTGGTTTCTTGGTTTTCCAATTACACAGAATATTCTGTATATTTGATTTGTGTATCTGTGTGCGCTCGCAACTGTGTTTTCCTTTCTTCTATTCTGTATAATTGGGTACTAAGCAGTTAAGCTAAATGAATGGGAAAATCCCAATTTCCAACTGTAGCTTACTGATGCTCTTTCTGTTAGATCATTGTCACACACACGCACACATTTCATTTGCCTAAACTCATAGCCATTGTTCGACCTTAATTAGAATACGTTTTCAGCTAGATTTGGTCTGAATGACCAACATAACACATATGAACATGATTACACTGCAGTGCATTTCAATTAGGTGGATGCCTATAACCTCACCCTGCAAATCACACCCCTGACCTGGGTTTTTGGATTAAGGCATGCAGTAAAAGAAGATAGTATCACTAACCCCTTTTACAAACTAGTGTAGCAAACATAAAATATTCCAGTAACGTGATAAAATGCAAAATATACAGCATTGTTGTCAGGCATGATGACTAAAACTCATTATGCATCATAATTACAATCATTATTGGGTGATATATACGTTTTCGTTTTTCTTAGTAGATTCTGTATCTCTAAGAAGTTTGGGCGGATCTTCAGGACTCTATTAGCTTGGCCCTGAAGTATTAATGTGCAGAAAGAAAGAAGAGACTATAATGTTTGCTATGAGCATAATTGTCTATTGCTAATATGTCAATTTTGATGTGTACAGGTAATATTACATGTGTTTTCCATTGTAACCTTGCATTTCTGCATGCAGCTTGTTGGAGCTGTTTATCTTGGACCATTTGGGCATTTCCTGCATTTACTACTTGATAATATTTTCAAGGGGAAGAAGGATTCAAAAACAGTAGCCAAGAAGGTAAGGCTACTCTACTTGCCATCACGCTCTGGTTTTTGGTTGAGAAATCCGTCCTACACTTCATATTAATTACAGCCATCGTTATTTAAGTGCCATAACTTCTGATCTCTTCCTCTTCTTAAACCAAGAGGGTTGTGCTCATAAAGAAGAATTCATTGGTCGTTCTAAAATTCCTAATCAAATTACTATGGCTTGGTTGTGGAGAGTAATTATATAATGGAGAGTGCTAGCAACCTTCTCTCTAACCTTCTCTTTTGGATATTCTCTCTTTTTCTTATGACAAGTGTCAATTTCCTTAACACTTACAATGTCATTAATACATCATACAAACTAGTTTTTGTTTTCCAAGTTTACCCTTATTAAATGTATTAATTTTTTTTTAATAACAAGCTAATTTATTTTTTTTACAGCTTTCTTACCACCTTGTTAAAAAAATTAAATAAGAAAATAAAAACTAAAGTTTTTTTCCCCCTAAAGAGAACGTCTGTTTTTGTTAAAAACAAAATAAAGATGATAACATCATCTTGAAACAAACTTTATTTTTAAAGAAAAAAAAATGATGTTTTTCCTTTTTTTATTTATTATTATTTAATTTTTAATATACAAATTTATAAATAAATCCAATCTTAGACATGTATTTATAAAAAAACCCAAACACTATTTAAACATAGAAACACACCCAAAATCAACAATTGTATATTTTTTGGGTGTGTTTATAAATGGGTTTTGAGTGTGTGTAATGATGGGTTTTGGGTGTGTTTATAAAGTGTTTTAGGTGTTAGATTTTTTTATAATTTCAGCCCCCATTTTGGATGTTTTAGTGAAACTCCCTTTTTAATAATGTGCTAAAGAAGTTGTAACAAAATTTGAATAAATTGAAGGAAATATAAAAGCCAATACATTTTAAGAGGGTAAACTTGAAAAACAAAAACTAACTTGTGTTATGCATTATGACATTGTTTTAAGTGTAAGGAAAATGACATTTGTCATGGGGAGCAATGAGAAGATCCAAAAGAGAATGTTAGAGAGAAGGTTGCTAGTATTCCTCTTATAATATCATAACTTGTGATCATCAATTGTTTATGTTTGACATGTTGGCATGTGAGAAATACAGTAGTTCCTATCAGCCCTTAAATTTGATTAAGATCTAAGCGTTGTATGACTTATATATCAGATTGTAATATAATTAGTCAAAACTCTGAAAGTTTCAAAGATAGTCAGCCTGCAAGAGGCATGTTAGCATGTGGACTATGCTGCTTATTGTGTGAAATGCAGGAAGACCCTGGATGCATGCGAAGAATAAAATTAAGGACTAGCTGTCAGTGCACTACACATTGTGGACGGTATGATTCTATCTCCATTGTGATTTTATTTTTTATTTTTTTACTAAGACAACATCAGGAAACATTACACATTTTAAACCTTGACGGATGAAAATGCAGTTCTGGACTGCTCTGGGTTGGATAAATCACCAGTATGTGCCACTCCATCTACGTGTCGTCTTCCACAGCTTGGTCGCTTTTGGCTGGTACAAGCTATAAGCTTACTCTCCTTTTTTCTCTATAATATACATGTTGTTTTTCGGTTCCTGATATCTTATCCCGATTCATTAACAAAATGGCTGGCCTTTTCAGGGGAATTTTCCAAACTTACAAGCAATATATGTGGCATTACCAAAGGCTAAGCGACAGAAATTATTCGATTGGACTCAGATAATTTGTGCTCCCTCCAAGTTACATAATAGTAGATATAATAAGTCCTGGGTCCCTAATCTTGTGAACATAATGTAATGAAAGATTTTGAAATTATAGTAAAGCAGGATGTTCAAAGATTAAACACTAATAAGAAGGATAATTTATGAACTCGTTAAGTTGTGTAAGTTTGACTTGTTTAGAGATAATGTGGAAAGAGTTGTATACTGCAAATAAAGCAAAAGCCACCACTAATGTGGAACCAATAATACGTACTGTAACAATCCACAAACCGGGTGCTACACGTCTCATAATAATTTCACCAAATTACGTGTTGGTTCACCAAATACAATAGGAGAATCAAACCCACTCATTAGAATCCATGGTAGCTCTCAAACTGCAAGATGCACAGTGCAGTCATAAGTGTGTCGTGGTTTTGGTCTTGAATTCATTTCATAATCTCTAACCCAATATGCATTCAACTCTTTCAATTGCTCATATTTTGCATGAACTTGGCAAGAAAAATGCAGGAGTCGCACAACAAATTTCCTATTTATCCCCAGGACAACACTTTTATGATAATCTTCAAGAAAGCCGAACAATACTCTATTCACTTTCTCATTATGCTCATAAGTGTATTCATGGTCACAATTGCACAAGAGAGAGACCAATGTATGTGGAAGATATTTAGTCATAATATCGTAATGATCAAAAAACACTTCTAAAACCCGGTGGGAATAAATCTTAGAAAAGCCAAATGGTCTCACCTCAGTCACGCAGATAAGACCACCACTCATTGGATCAACAATTGTTGCATATAGTAAAACATGTTTCAGAAGTTCTAACAATTCTTCTCTACTACTGCCTTTCCCGTGAGACAGATAATATTCAAAAGCGAAATGTCCACCTATTCTATTTTGATGTGCTGCGAAGACATAATCTTTGTTGGTGTGGATTTGAGGGTTACAGCTTATGGCACTAATGCATTTATCTTGACTGAAAAAGCGAAAAAATTATTCAAAATCCAGTACAACATAGTTGCAACAATTGCAGGAGATTCCGGTCAATGTAAAGCACTGATAACTTATGTGAAAGACAGAATGGAAAATGCAATGGACATAAATGGGGGAGTAGCTGGAGACATCCATCGTGCAGCAACATTAGCCCAAGAATATATCCGAACATGGAAATTAGTGTTTAGAAAGTCATTTCTCGGGTCTGTTCTTATAATTAGATGAGAAAACAATAATGAGAGCTTTCGTCCTTATATTTAACTCGTTAATATACCTCAATGTATAATAACGAGGTAATTATACCGACGAAAACTCTTATTACTGTTCTCACATCCAATTATAAGAACAGACCCGGGAAATGGCTTTCTAAACACTGATTTCCATGTTTGGATATATTCTTGGGCTAATGTTACTGCATGATGGATGTCCCCAGCTACTCCCTCATTTATGTCCATTGCATTTTCCATTATGTCTTTCACATAAATTATCAGTGCTTCACATTGAACGGAATCTTCTGCAATTGTTGCAACTATGTTGTACTGGATTTTGAATAATTTTTTCGCTTTTTCAGTCAAGATAAATGCATTAATGTCATAAGCTGTACCCCTCGAATCCACATCAACAAAGATTGTGTCTTCGCAACACATCAGAATGGAACAAGTAGACATTTCACTTTTGAATATTATCTATCTCACAGGAAAGGCAGCAGTAAAGAAGAATTGTTAGAACTTCTGAAACAGACTTTACTATATGCAGCAATTGTTGATCCAATGAGTGGTGGTCTTATCCACGTGACTGAGGTGAGACCATTTGGTTGTACTAAGATTTATTCCCATCGGGTTCTAAAAGTGTTTTTTGATCATTACGATGTTATGGCTAAATATCTTCCACATACATTGGTCTCTCTCTGGTGCAATTGTGACCATGAATACACTTCTGAGCATAATGAGAAAGTGGACAGAGTATTATTCGGCTTTCTTGGAGATTATCATAAAAGTGTTGTCCTAGGGATAAATAAGAAATTTGTTGCACGACTCCTGCATTTTTCTTGCCCAATTCATGCAAAATATGAGCAACTGAAAGAGTTGAATGCATATTGGGTTCGAGATCATGAAATGAATTCAAGACCGAAACCGCGACACACTTATGACTGCACTGTGCCTCTTGCAGTTCGAGAGCTACCATGGATTCTAATGAGTGGGTTTGATTCTCCTATTGTATTTGGTGAACCAACACGTAATTTGGTGAAATTATTACGAGACGTGTAGCACCTGGTTTGTGAATTGTTACAATACGTATTTAAATTATGTGTGTGTGTGTATATATATATACATATGTTCTTTCGAATGAAAAAGGTTTGTTTAAATTATATATTTGTTCATTATTCCTTGGATGCTATTAGATGGTTATTGGGTGCTTTATATACATATATATTAATAACATGGATTAGGAGTTTAGACGTGGCATTCTTACATTGTTTTCTTGGAGAGATATTGTTCTCTTATCTTAATTTGGAGATATATTTAAATTAGTATGTTGGAGGTGGCTTTTTCCATTAAATTAGTTGATGCATTACCATGCATTTGGACAGCTCATGCTTACAATTTGGTGACTAGGCTTTATCTTAGCTTGAGGAGGAGTTTATAAGTTCAAACCACAAACCAACCGACTATTTGTGGTATGGTGATTTTTGAAACCGAAAAGCAGTCGGTTACCGCGAATTAACAGTAAAAACCGATTCGAATGTTTGGGGAATTAGAGGCATTAGGTGTGTTAGAGTGGCTAGACTCTATCTATAACACAACACAACACAAAAGCAACAACATAAAAGCATATTAATAACATATTAAACTCAACCAAATTACAACACAACAAATTAAAGCTCAAAACAGATTACCAATTAACAGATTCCAAATTTAATTTAATAGATTCAAATTTCATTCCAAGTGCCAGATTCAAGCTCAAAACATTAACATACAAAACAGAGTTTAATTCAAGCTCAAAACATTAACATACTAAAAACAGAATTTAATTCAAGCTATGCACAGATTTACGGCTTACCTCTGCAAAACCAAATGCTCCAACCTCCAAAACGTTAATTCACTTCAGCAACAATCCCTGCAAAAATCAAATTTGACATTAGAAATTCCCAAGTACCAGATTCCAAAACAGATTACCAAGTGCCAGATTCCAAGTGCTAGGTTTAATTCAACAGATTCGAAATTAAATTCAACAGATTCGAAAATACCAATTAACAGATTCGAAATTACCAATTATCAACAAACAACAAAGAAATCCAAGGGAAATGCATCAAGCATAAATAAAATGGGAAAAAAAACAAACAAACAAAGCCTGCCCAGATGCATATTATCAACTCAAAATCAAAATTATTCATCTCCAAGAAGAAAAACCAAACCTCATATCCAAAAATAAGGCAAAATGAGTTCCTTATTTAGAATCATCTTCAGCGAAATTAGATATCCGGAAATACAGTAAATAATTCAAGTACATAATTCCAATTTTGACAAAATCCTGAGTGCCATTGCTTGACATTTAGATGAAATTGGAAGTTTGCTTTAAAAAAATTCCAAAGACGGTATGATAGATTTGTTATAGTCCATGAATATGCACTGCAAGCTCCACCTGTGATCAAATGTTTAGGAATGGACTCTTAAATATCAATGACTGAAAAATGCACAGCTCAAAATGAAATCAAGGGGAAAAAGATACCCAGATGAAGAACATAAAAATAAAAATAATAGAACAAAGATCAATCCAACACAAACAAAAATACGAATACCAGATCCACGAAGGTCAAAAAACCACAAAATCAAAGAAACCCAAAAACCCATTACAAACATAAACATTTACACGCAGATAGAGCAGAGTAAAATGAAGGGAACAAAAGAAGAGAAGGTTTAGAAATTACAACCTTTAACATGAACAGGGTCAAAAGCAATGAAAGAGAAGAGACAGAACTGAGATCGAGAGAGAGAGGAGATGAGTTCGAGTCTGTGAGAGAGAAGCCGTGTTTGAGAGTTGAGAGAGAGAGAGAGAGAGAGAGAAGCCGTATTTGAGAGAGTGAGGCCGCGTAAGGAGAGAGGAGAGTAGTTAGGTTAGGTCTGAATCTGATCGCACAAGGAGAGAGGAGAGACTTAAATAGAATGCAAATTTAATATAAAAAAATAGTCGCGGTTTGCGGTAACCACTATTTTCCAAAATCAAATACCACAACCGCAACCGTAATTGCAGTTTGGTTATTAAAACCGTAATTTTTTATTGGTTTTCAGTTATTGCAGTTCCAATGTGGTACAATGTCAATTGGTTTTTGCGGCTTTTCGGTCTAAAATGCCACTCCTAGTTTCCATGAAGGAATCTTAAAGGGTCATGCTATCCTAGGATGCCAACTTATATACAATCTCTCTAATAGAGAGATAGTACATAAATTGATCTCTAAAAATGATCTTCCTAACATATTTAAATGAAAATTGTAGCACTAAACAATAATAATAATGAGAAAGGTTACTGCTTATTAATACTGTTGAAATGATAACAATTTCTTTAATATACAAGGGGGCGTTTGGTATCCTATTCAAATATGGAACTCAAAAACTTTGATTTTTTAATAACCAAAAGATAAATGTTCAAACCCCCAGTATGATTTCCTTTGAAAAAAGCAAATGACGAAACCATTCTCTTCACTTACTGACTCTGTTAATTCATTCCAAGGTAATTATTTTGTTGATTTTGGGCTAAATCACAATCACTGCCAATGCGAACGAAGCTTCTTCATCAACACAAAATCGAGAGAGTAAAATATATGTGGTTTGCATTCCAACATACCATACCATGGAGTATTTTTAACATGGATGACATTCGCATAGATGATGATCATGGATTTTTTTTTAAAAAAAATTTCTCAACAGGACCATGTGAATCATGATGATGGGTTTCCATGAGGTATCACATTATGAACCTGAAAATTGAGCTGGATCGTAGGACCCAGCTTTCAGACCAAACCGTAGCTGCAATAATTATTTTTGACCGTATCACGCCAACTGGATAAGGCTAACGTAAATAACTTTTTAGCCCTGTACAATTTCTCATAGATGTGGAGTCCTCGCACCTCTATTAGAGAAATAGTACATAAATTGATCTCTAAAAATGATCTTCCTAACATATTTAAATGAAAATTGTAGCACTAAACAATAATAATAATGAGAAAGGTTCTTGCTTATTAATACTATTGAAAGGATAATAATTTCTTTAATATATAAGTTTTGCTTGCAACTAACTAAATACTGATCATCAGGCGGGCCCTACAAAAATAAAAAATTGCACCTAGTCAAAGACCTTTTCTCTTTGACTGTCTCACGCCAATGGCGCTCTACTGCAATTGCTGGGCTAAGGCTAACTGCGCCTCATAACTTTTTCGCCACAAACTGCCATTTGGTTTGAAATTCTGTTGCAGACATTTCCGATTTTCCACGCCTTATATAATTAACAATTAATTTACGCCTTCTTTCCAAGCAATTCATTTTCAAAGCGGGAAATATTTTTGCTAATTATTTTAACTTAAGGTAAGGTATACTGTTATTACCATTCTTAACATTTAATACGTATCCATTAGCATAATAATAATTAACTATTTGTGGAATCATGTATGCAACATTCAAAAGTCAAATGATGTTCATAAAGATGTGTTAGGTTATAAGTGCGTGTGACGTGTCGGCGAAAGGGGAATAGCCAGCAATTTATTTTATTTTCAGATACTTTATTTATTTATTTCTTTTTTGGTCTGATTATTCCATAGAAACTAGAATCTGTTCAAGAAGGTGGAGCAAGGCGATTCTATTCTTGAATTTCGTACATTATTGGTGGCCCCTTATTCGGATAAAAAAGAATATTGATAATACAAGATTAAAGGTTAAACGAGATAATTATATATATTAGGTTCATGACTTGAGTTGTATTAATTAGGCATACTAGACATTCTCTAGATAACGGTTTTAACCGTTATTTTGTTCTCACCTAACAAAGGCCTAAGGTAAAATTATAATGAATTTCAATTAATCCTTAATTAAAACATGCATATGAGTCATATGACCCTTAAACACCCTTTTTAATTTCATGTGGCTCTTTAATTACTCAAGACTTGGAGAGCAAATTCTTCTAGACCTCCTCAACCACATTGGCAATGGCAATAATGGCAGGTTAAACTTAAGCAAATGGGGTGAGAACAACTCAGCTTGGAAAACTGAAAAAGCTTGGAAGTGTGAAGCAACTTTTTTAAGGATGCATAGGATGGGGTGCTTAATAAGTAAAGAGCAACTTTTTTAAGGATGCATAGAATGTGTTTCTAAAGTCCATTTCATATGAGGTATTTTTATAATTTGGGCCCCTATCCCCCTTTAAAATATTAGTTTATTACTTTCATGTTACTAAATTGTGATATTTTAGAAGTGATAAAAATTTGTGATATTTTAGAATTAGTTCAATAAGGGTTTTTTCTTTTTTTGGATTTTGAATGTTGAACCTAACTTCCATTCAAAATCCCACAAATCGCCCTTAGTTAATCAAAATAATAAAAGAGAAGACACTTCATGAAATAAGAATAAAAATATATTAAAATTGAAATTGAAATAAATAAATAAAGAAAAGATAAATAGAGTTGATAGAACTAATGGAATTTTTTTTTTTGGGTTAATGCAAGAGATAGTTTAAATTATGCTAATTTAGAGAAGAATGGATCAAACTTGGGTGTAAGAGGGCGGACACATTGCCTCACATCAGCTAGAATTAACATTTATTTATTGGACAAACAATGCGAACCAAATTGAATTTTGAGGAGAAAAATGTGACATAGTCAAGTATACATGCTCTATGGTCCAAACCAAACCTTGCTCAGCAATCAAGGTTATGATTGGTCCAAAACTTCCAGGAGGTTCTGGGCAAATTTTGTGCTCACAGCCTTTGCAGTCACAGTCACAATAACAGATTGCCAATGCAATTTCAAGGATATAGGATGGTACCTTGGTGACCAAGTTCCATCTTTCCAAATAATATTCTAACCTAGTACTGCTTTTAGAAGGGAAATCATTCTGATTCCTCCTCACTCAGTCAAGTATGCTCTCTGGTCTAAATCTTCCTCACCAAGGGCTAAAATTCCCCACCATGAGAAGTATAGCTGCCCCACTGGGCCACAGCCCAGTATTTCCCATGTGAACTTCTAGAAGCTTCTTGGCCAAAACTTCTCCTAAGTATAAGGCCTTTTAATTGGTCCAAAACTTCCAAAGGCTGTTGGCCAGAATGTCCAATTTCAACTAAACTTAGCTCCTTGATTCACCACCCCTAGCCAAATTGAGAGTACAACGGTGTAACACCAATTTGAGTTATGAACTTTGAAAAACAAAGTTAGAAGCGTTCTAAAAACAGATAATGTCATGTACACATTTATTAACAACATTGTCAACTATGTATCTCAAGTTCAACATCTACCTATCTTACTAAGTTGTGAAAAATATTGTCAGTAATGTGGTAGTGATTTTCACACTCTTATTATGTTGGTTTGCACTCCTTCCCTTGTTTTTATACTTCAATTTTTCTTTTGTTTACTCAATTACCAAAGTACAAAAGTAAGAGGAAGGAGTGCAAATGGATACAATGAGTGTGAAAATCGCTACCCTTCTTCGACACCTCCTTTTTTCTCGAAATAAAAGAGGCTCATTGCCATCACATTAGGAAAAACAGTTATAATGCTATTGCTGCGAGGCAGGGAATCATGACAGTCGTTACTCCACATATGCGCCAGACACAAAAAGTGACAGAGAAAAGCCTATATGGAATAACTGCCATGACAAGTGTTTTTTTTTTTTCCTTGCTAGAACTGCAATGACAAGTTTTTTTCCCTTGCTAAAACTGCAATGACAAGTTATTTACTTGTGTGAGAAGGACTGAAAGATTGAGACCATGTGCACCAATCTCTCACCTCTGTGCTCTTCTTTCTCCTATATATAGTGGCTTCATGAGCTTAATAAATTCGCATCTTACATTGACAAGCTAGCTAGCAGTTGGTATTTTGAGCTTACATTTCAAATTCAGGGTGAGACTCATTTTTCTCATTTGCATTGTTTTTTTTGTTCTTTTTTAGATGTTAGTTTCACTTAGTTCTTCACAGATATATTAATATCAATTATTATTTTCTGAAACAGAAGTTGTGATCAATTAGTCACCATGGTTAAGACAGTTGAGTTGTATGGATTTTGCTCTGTTCAGTCTCCAGAAGCAGTGACAGAGTTTATGGAGAAATATACTGGAAAAGGAACTGTTTATGCTGTGAAGGTCTTCCACAAAGATGGAAAAGCAAGAGCTTCTGCCATAGTTCAATTCACACATGCCGAATTTGCTGACATGATACTGACAGTTGCCGGAGATCATCTTGAAAAATGTGTGCGGTACGGGAATTCTTTTCTGAAAGCTAAAAGATTGAAGCATGACATGTTCTCCAAATCAGTAACCTTTCAACCTAGCATGGAACTTGTAAAGCTGCACTTTGGATGCCAGATTTCCAACGAACAGTTTTCAGTGCTTTGGACACTATCCGATGTTTCGGTGAAATTTGGGATGATACTTAAACATTTCTACTTCTTTTTCTCTTATGATTCTATTGAATACAGGCTAGAAATCTCCTACGACAATGTTAGCCAGATTGAGCTGCATCGTCCACATGGTCAACTTGCAAAGTTCCTTCTCATCCAGGTTTGGTTCCCCTGTTCTAGTATATATTAATCTGCCATGCATCCTCTCTATACTTACTTTGAATGCTGTTGAAACAGGCTTTTATCTTCCTTAAACATAGCATAATCACTATATTATGTGTGGCACTTTGGGGTGAAAATAGTTGACATTTTTCTCTTCCTTTGTTTACTCTTGCTAGTTACGTGGTGCCCCTCGGATTTACAAGGAAGATGTACCTGATATGAACAATATCGAGGAAGCTTCTGCTACTTACTGGGTTCGAGAAGTAGATTTCACTCCATCATGCAGAATTGGGCAATCTTCTGCTGTATGTTTGGAGCTTCCACTTAGGTGGATTCTTCCAAATCTAGGCAGCAGTTTTGTTCATTATAAAGCAGATGAAGGACGGTTCGTTTTGGAGAGAGGTAGCATTTTCTCCTGTGACTCAGATCTTGTTCCTATTGTGCGTCCACCCCTAGGCATTAAGTTGCCATATAAAGTCCTGTTCAAGATAAATTCCTTGGTTCAGCATGGATGTGTTCCTGGACAAGCCCTTGATGCCAATTTTTATGAGCTGGTTGATCCTACTAGAATAAGAATTGAAGATATAGAGTGTGCCCTGGACAAACTATTTCACTTAAAAGAGTGCTGCTATGAACCTGTGAGTTGGCTCAGAGAGCAGTACAGAAAGTACCAGACATGCAAGCAAATTCCCGAAACGCCTGCTATTTCTTTGGATGATGGGCTGGTGTATGTACACAGGGTACAAATAACACCATCTAAAGTATATTTCTGCGGTCCAGAGGTAAATCATTCGAATCGCCTTTTCCGAAAGTATCCTGAAGATGTTGATAACTTTCTTCGAGTTTCTTTCGTTGATGAGGACTTGGGGAAGATGCGCTCGGCAGATTTATGTCCACGTGCTGCAGAACAGCAAAGGCGAACTAGAGTCTATGAAAGGATACTTTCTACTCTACGAAATGGCATAGTTATTGGTGAGAAGAAATTTGAGTTTCTTGCCTTTTCATCAAGTCAATTACGAGGTCATTCTGTGTGGATGTTTGCTTCAAGAAGTGAGCTCACAGCACAAGACATCAGAAACTGGATGGGTGATTTTAAGGAGATTAGAAATGTGGCAAAACATGCTGCCAGGCTTGGTCAGTCTTTCAGCTCTTCCAAGGAGACTTTTAGTGTTGGTGAGGATGAAGTTGAAGAAATTCCGGATGTAGAAATTGAAAGGGATGGAGTTGAGTATTGTTTTTCTGATGGAATTGGGAAAATATCTGCTGAATTTGCTGCAAGGGTGGCAAGAAAGTTCAAGTTAAGTTGTACTCCATCCGCCTTCCAAATTCGATATGGTGGCTATAAAGGTGTTCTGGCAGTTGATCCAACATTGTCAAAGAACTTGTCGTTGAGAAAGAGCATGTGCAAGTACCAATCCAACAACACAACACTAGATGTTCTGAAATGGAGCAAGTACCAGCCTTACTTCCTTAATCGAGAAGTGATTACCCTTCTGTCCACCCTCGGAGTTCCAGATGACGTTTTTATGGAAAAGCAAAAACAGGTTTTGAATCAATTGGATGGCATTTTAGCTGATCCATTAAGGGCACAGGAAGCACTGGACTTGATGTTTCAAGGAGAGACCACCAACATTTTAAAGGAAATGGTTTTGTGTGGTTACACACCAGATGCAGAACCATTTCTGGCAATGATGCTACAAGCATACTGTGCATCAAAGCTTCTGGAACTGCAGAGCAAGCAAGGATATTTGTCCCCGATGGAAGATCTATGATGGGATGTCTAGATGAAACTGGAACATTGGAATACGGTCAGGTATTTGTGCAATGTTCTCCCCATGGCAGCCAGCAACTCCATGATACTTCCTCCCATATCTTCAGTGGCAGCAGTTCAAGTGACAGCAGTTTTATCGTTGAGGGAAAAGTAGTGGTTGCTAAAAACCCATGTTTACACCCCGTAGACGTGCGTGTTCTTATGGCTGTCAATGTGCCGGCATTGCACCACATGGTGGATTGTGTTGTTTTCCCGCAAAAAGGAGAGAGGTAAGTTTGCATTTGATGAAATTAGAAATATTTTCAGGTAGTGTTTCTTTGCTTGAACTATTTACTGACTATATTTGCTTTTTGATCAAATCAGACCACATCCTCATGAATGCTCAGGAGGTGATTTAGATGGCGATTTTACTGGGTCAGTTGGGACCCTGATCTAATTCCTCCTTGCCAAGTTCAACCCATGAATTATACCCCGGAACCAACTATGAATTTGGATCATGATGTTACAATGGAGGTATATATTTCCTTTTGCTCATTGTTGCCTCTGTCGTATGAGTTCAGTTCAAGACTTGATGTGCTATTGTGTTTGTTACAGGAAATTGAGGAATCTTTTGTAAACTACATAGTCCATGACAACTTGGGGATCATTTCAAGTGCTCATACTGTCTTTGCAGACAGAGAGCGAGACAAGGCTATGAGTGCTCCATGTAAAGAGCTCGCCAAGCTCAACTCCCGCGCTGTAGACTCTCCGAAAACTGGCGTGCTAGTCAAATTGCCATATCATCTACGTGCCATAGAGTACCCAGAATTCATGGAAAAGCTTGACAGACCCACCTATAAGTCGAAAGGTGTGATTGGGAAGCTTTTCCAACAGGTGAACGATCATGTTGAGCTTGTATCTCATTTGTATTCAAGCTCTCTTAAATCCTTCACCATGGAAGTCGCTTGGAAGTGTTATGACCCTGACATGGGGGTAGATGGGTTTGAGGTCTACATCAATGAGGCCATCAATTACAAAAGGGAGTACGACTACAAGCTGGGAAACCTGATGGAATATTACGGCATCAAAAGTGAAGCAGAAATACTAAGTGGGAATATCACTCAAACATCCAAATACTTCGATAGAAGAAAGGACTTTAAAGAAAATATTGGTCACGCTGTAAGGTCATTGAAGACAGAAGGTAGGGGCTGGTTTCATGAGAAGCAGGGAAGTGATATTCAGTCGAATGTCAGCAGCAACAGCAATGATGCATATGCAGCAAAAGCATCAGCTTGGTGCCATGTTACGTATCATCCTCATTACTTCGGTTGCTACAATGAGGGAATGGCAAGGGAGCATTTCCTCAGCTTTCCATGGTGTGTCTTTGACAAGCTCATCCAGATCAAGAGGGATAAAAGAAGTCTCTAAACTTCTTTACATATGTTATCACTGGCGTGCCATTCGACTTGAGAAAGTAAGCATCAGGTGTTTGTTTGGAAATTTGAAAGATACTCTTAGCTGTTGTGTTTTCCCTCATAAACTTAAGTGTGTTATGAATGTGGTTATGTTTTCTGTAAGCAACTATAGTACGTAAATAATAAATATGGGTGTGATTACTTTTTTAGAGTGATGTGTAACTGCTGCAGATCATTTAGAATGTGTTTCTCTCATTCATTCAAGGCATAAGGCATTCCTCTGCCATCCCAGAGGGATAAGCAAGCTGCCATGCATTTTGTTTTTCTTGCTTCCAAGTAAATTAAAGAACACACATTAGAATTTTAAGTTTTATAACAATCTTTTTGGTGCTGGAACAATTTAAGTTTCAATGAAGGTTTGGTTAAGTTTTTTAATGAAAACAACCTGTATTTGCTCCCACTAGACTTTGTGAGAATTAAGTACATTTCCATGACAGGCCACTCTTAGCAACAATCAAAGAAAAAGAAGTAGGCATTTCTTGCAAACAACTCCAAAGAGGAACAAATAAATAACATGTGTATATCAGCACAAACGTGTGATTAAAGAGACTGTTGATACCTAGTTTAGTCATGGCATTTTCAGCTGCTAGTGCATAGACACAGCTTCTCAGTTTTCCTCCGCTAAAACTACGTCATTGTTAGTTGAGAGTGTACTGCCACATGTATACGATAATATGAGCTCCTGTCAGGCAGGCATATAGTCATACAGTATAGCTTCAAGTCAATGGTGAAATTTATTTTGCTCAATAAAGTCAAGGTTTTAAGGCATACAACCGATACACATGGTAGCAAGGGAGCATTTCTTGTTCCATTTATAACTGGACTGAAGCATGAATGCCAAAAAGTTCCAACAGTGAGACACTAAACAGTGGAATCTAGTGTCAAACATCTACACACGTTGAGGAAAAAAGACACGACACTGAATTGAAGTCACATTTATTCCTAAATGTAGAGAGACAAAGATTTGAAACAAGATACTGAAACCAAATTCAGCACAAATGGATCAGTGGCGCTTCTTCCCTGTTGCTAGTTCCCAAGCCTGTAATATGTGGTTCACGATTTCCTCTACTCCATGACCATGCTTCACCTGCACAGGGTAGTTCACTGGCATATAACTCATGAACGTGAAAATTTCAAGAACAGACCTACAAAGACAAATCATGAAGAATTGCCTTTCTGGTACAGTTTGAAACTCAACATTCCTAACATGATGGATTGGGGAGTAGGGACAGGGTCACAGTGTCTCATTTGTGACAAGAAATGAGCAAATACAGCTTGTATCACATTTCACGTTGAGCAAATTTTACGTTAACACAATAATTTACTGTAATAGTACTACTCCAAATATGAAAGTACAAATATCAAGTTCCCATCATGTTCACAATGTTTCAACCAAAATCATGTTCACAATGTAAAAATGCTAGTGATTGAATTAATGGTATAACCAACCAACCTGAGCAAAGACAAATGGCCCTCCGTCTCGCATTCGAAGTGCATCACGTTCCATTACGGCCAAATCAGCTCCAACTGCTGGTGCAAGGTCGGTCTTGTTGATCACCTACAATCAAATGTTAAAGGCGTCATTCACATACAAATCCCTGAAATTGGTACACATGACAGATATGGTATCCACAATAGCTGTAGCAATGAATATCAGAAAGCACATACTAGTAGGTCAGCTTGGGTGATTCCAGGACCACCTTTTCGTGGAATTTTATCACCACCAGATACATCTATTATGTAAATGATATAGTCAGCCAGTTCCCGACTGAAGTTCGCAGCTAAATTATCTGCACCAGCACAAACTCAATTGGATAGTATTTCAAAAGAATAATAAGAACATGCATAAGAAAGCTCAATTCAGCCAATGGCTGATTGTTGACATACAAAACATTCCCATTCATGCAACTGTACAATAAGCATTTCTGCCCCAACTTAATCTTTTCAAAGCTTTGCATTCATCAAACGGCATTTTTCTTTCATACCTAATTCCAGATAACTCCATAAAGCCATTTTTTTCAAGTTTATTAATGCAGTTCCATTGCAACCCTCATCACCATTAGTCATTTGTAATAATCCAACTTAAATGATCAGGTCAGATCAGCTGAACATAAGCTATGACCAGTCATCTAATTGCTTCTGAAAAATACCTCCGCCTGATTCACAAAGCAGTATGTCTGTCTTGTACAAGTTAGAAAGCTCCTCGAGAGGGCCTAGATTAATGCTGATGTCTTCACGAATTGCAGCGTGCGGGCATCCCCCAGTTTCAACAGCACGTATTCTTTCTTCAGGAAGTGCCCCGTGTTTCACCAAGAACTCACCATCCTCTTTTGTGAATATATCATTTGTCACCTGCAATTGTTACACATATTATCTTTCGTCATGCAGGGTTTTACATCCTACATCAAGCTTATCTTTAGCCTTGCCTCAATCAACTTGAAACATGGGCTTTCAGGTCTTTGCTTACATTAGAAAATACTATGCAAGGCTACAATATGATGTTAAAAAGATATAGCCAATTAAACCTTTGAAATTATATAAAATAGTAAATAATAAAAGTTACTCACAGCAGCAAGACTGTACTTGTCACGCAAAAGCGTACACAGAGCCAGCATCAAAGCGGTTTTCCTGTATGGCATGAAGCAGCATTCATCAACTCTCACTAAATAGTTTGATTCACACTAGCAATGCGATCTTCACGACTAAGAAAAGTAATCCAGGCACGAATTTTGAATCAGGAAATACTCAAAGCCATTCAAAATGAATCAAACTAAGTTATCAATAGCTTATGCTATACAATAAGGATGTTTATATTACTTGTACACTATCCAAACAACTGAACAATTTCCAGGGGAAATCTGGGGAAAATAATAGAACCCCAATTGATGAAATTGAGAAAAGATATGCACAAAACAGATGAGTCAAAAAAAAGTGAGGAGATTGTAACAGGCACACTACTCAATCAACAAAGAGAAAATCTGAGCTACCCACTAAATAGTAGATACCTAATAACACAAAAGCTGAATTATGATAAAAGTAAAGTGTCAACATTTAAATCATTCATTTCTTACTCTTTTTAAGCTAATGATACAAATTTATGATTGTGATATTATTCTCAATAATGCAAAATAGAATACAAATTAATTAAAGGGAGACAGAGGAGATAGATACCCACTTACCCAGTACCAACTGGTCCACCAATGCCAATAGTAAAAGCCCTTTCACTGAAATTCCTGGTGAGAAGAGGTGGAGCTCTTCTGCTGAAGTAGCCAGGGGAGTATATGGGTTCGTGCGAGTGTGGCGCCAGCCCATCATGGCTATGGTACACCTTCCCATCTGGGCCTACCCATGAATTTGTTCCTGAACTCCCATGGCTATGATCATGCTCATGATCATGATGGTGGTGATGTTCATGGCCTTGGTTGTGGTGGTCATGATCATGATGGTGATCAGCCATTGACCCTACAGTCTGCAGAAGTTCTACTCTGGTTCAAGAAGAGCGCAGGAAGAAAGAGGTATCTGGTTGGGTTGATTGGCCATATGCATTATACATTATAAGATAACTGGCAATTAATTTACCAAAACGCCCTTAGTTAATAATTTAAAGGTAAATTCACTATTATATCCAATATAGGGGCCCAAATTATAAAAATACCTCATATAAAATGGATTTTAGAAACACACCCAAAACTCATTTACAACATAACAAATAGGCTTTTAACTTCTTATAAATTACAAAATTGCCATCAATTTCTTAAAACAAG